TTTCAACATGGAGAATTATGGCTGGAAGGCCAAAGCCCAGCGAAATCCCAAACAAGCTGCACTAAGCAACTCCCGTCAGGCGAGTACAAATCAGGACACCTACGGAGCGTACGGCAACAGGTGGTAGCCTTCGATGCTCGCAAGTGGCACGCTGTGCAAGCGTGGCAAGGACACAGGACAACCGTGGGTGGTTACACAAGTCGGGGGGTCCAGCATCTGGGTTTGGAGGAGATTCAAGAACTTAGGGCTTGTGGGTTTCAGTGGACGGAGCAACCCGTTGGGGGAGAAATTCAGGCGGTGTTTCGGAGTTCACTTCAGAAAGGCACCAAGGTTGAGGAAGAAATCAAGAGGAAGCTGTATCTCTTGCATGCTGCCACTGGACATGGGAGTGTACGTAATCTTGTGAGTGCCCTGAAGCGAAGGAACGTGGATCCTCTAGTCCTGAGGCTTGCTGAGAACTTCCACTGCCCCATTTGCCATGAACGACAGAAAGCTCAACCCCGACAACTCGCCTCCCTCGAGCCCTTACCCCCGAAGTTCCACACTGTTACTGCCGACATTGGACATTGGAATTGCCCAAATAGCGGTGAGACTCAGAACTTCATGGTGATTGTGGATGAGGGATCTCGTTTCCGGGTGGCTAAGGTTTTAACCAAAGGGAACAAACAAACCCCAAATGCGGCCACATGTTTGAATTTCCTGTCGGAAGGATGGATCCAAGTGTTCGGGAAGCCCCGAGCCATGAGGCTCGATCCGGCTGGGAGTTTCAGGTCCTCTAGTGTAGAAGACTTCTGTGATAGGCATGAGATCTACTTGGATATTATACCGGGAGAAGCCCACTGGCAGATTGGCACAGCAGAGAGTGCCATCCAAGGGATCAAGACGGTCATGACGAAGCTAAGTAACGAGGATCCCAGCTTAACGGCGGAACAGGCAATGAGTTTGGCGGTGAGTACCTTCAATCATCGAGAGATGGTCCGAGGTTTTTCCCCAGCACAACATGTGCTAGGATGCGCTCCAGACGAGACAGGGAGACACCTCCTAGGAGACGCCAGTAAGTGGGACGAGGTCATTCTGACACAGCCACTGCAAGACTTCCAGAAGGAGGCCCAGTTACGGGCTACTGCGGAAAAAGCATTGGCTGATTGGCAGGCGCAACAGAGAGTGACGAGAGCGGCCAACTCCCGGACTCGCCCGAGTCATCTATATCACC